ACACACCACACACCATACACACACACCACACACATCATACATACACACCACACACCATATACACACACCACACACCATACATACACACCACACACATACCACATACCATACACACACACCCTGCACACACACACCACACACATCATACATACACACCACATACACACCACATACTACACACCATTACACACACACTCTTCACACATACACCACACATATCACACACATGTACATCACATATACCACACACTCCATACACACATCATATACATGCACACCACACACACAGCATACACCATATACACACCATACGCACACCCCACACACATATCATATGCACCACACACCTCATACACATGCACACCACACAGCACACACCATACACACCACACATACTATACATGCACCACACACACTATACACGCACCCGTACATATATCCCATACACATACCACACATTACATGCCATACACACACACCACACACATATAATCTCACACATACACCAAACATACATACACATGAACACATGCGCCTCCGGGGTCGCCATTCCTAGGAGCCACGGATGGGGTGGGGTCATCTCTTGTCTGGAAGTGTCCCCCGGGCCGTCCCTGCCCCATCTCGTGGGCAGTAGAGCCTGCCCACCCACATTCTTCTCTGCAGCTGCCCTTGGCGCCCTGGCCAGGGCATATGGAGCTACAAATGTCGCCTACACCAGCTCTCCATGCCCGGCACTCATGGCCAGGGGACAGCCCTGGTCCAGATTCCCCCGTCAGGTCCTCCCCCTGAAACTGCAAGGCCCACTAGCAGGTGGTGAGGTCAGGGTGGGCGGGGCCATGCGGACACGGCAGAGCCAGCCCCAGCTGAAGGGCTGGGGCAGGGATGGGAGACAGGGGAGGAGGGGGTGCAGGTCCCCCCGGATGAGGATATGGGCCCATCAGATGGGGTCAGAGGTGGCTCTGATGGCTGCCCCTCCACCCCTGGGTCCCTCTCTTATCATCAGACACTCTGTTCTAGCTTCCCCAGGGAACACGCTGGCCTCTCCCTGCAGGTCAGAAGCTTCAGGGCTCAGCTTAAATGACACCAAAGATGCTTTACCAGACCATCCTTCCTGAAGTCCCCGCCTCTGAGAGGTGCTTTTGGGGCTACCTGCTGCCCGCCTCGCTCCACAAGGCCAGCGTCTGCGGCACAGGGGCTGTGAGGGTGGTCCGGCTCCGTCCTGTGTGGGAAAGTGCCTGGTACACAGCAAGTGCTTACTTAATACCTGGCGACACTCAAACCACTTGACACCTCCCTCTCTGAAAGCCCCGTCCTGGCGTCCAGTCAGGCCTAGTGGCTCACACCTGCGGAGGACAGGGCATTTTCCTGGGGACTTCAAAGTAGACCAGAGACGATTCTGGAAGGGAGGCTTCTGGGCACCACCCTGTATGGGGACCCTCACCCGCATATACTGCCGGGAGTGCAGCAACACATCCTCAGCTGGGTGGCCTAGGTCCCACCCCTCCCACCGCAGCGACTCCCCACCTCCCCACCCCTCCCATGGCAGCCTGAACGCCTGGCACCTCGCCTGGTGGTCACTACAACCTGGGGAAAGGAGCAGCTGCTGGTGGAATCCAGGGCAGGGGCTCGGTTGCACAGACCACCGTGCCCCCGAATCAGGCCCTGGACGCCCCTCCACCTCAGTCTCCCTTCCTCCAGCGGCGCTGGAGTCCCCCACCTCTGTCCCAGGGACTTGAAGCCTCGGTGGTGGGTGGGGAGCCGGGAACAGGCCGCCCTGCCTGCTCGCAGACCTCATGCAACTTTGCTTTTCTTTGGCAAAGAGGAGCTCTCCAGGGAGGTCCTCACCCGGATGGCACTGTGAGCCCGAGTGGACGGTGTCTGCTTTCCCAGGGGCAGGGGGTGGAAGGTGGCACAGTTTGGGCTGGGCCTCCCACCCTCACTGCCTCCACTTACACCCCACTTCCGCCTGCCTGCATCCCAGGCCTAACAGATGAGCTCCGTGAGCGCCCCAGGCGATTCTCTGAGGGCCACGGAAGGATGCGCGACCCCGAGCGGAGGGCACGGCCTCCAGAGGGAAGGTGCACTGCAGACGGAGGTGTGGGTCTTCCCAGGCAGGTGCCAGAGCCAAGCGAGACGGTGGGGCGGAGAAGAGTGGGCAGACCAGGCTGGCAGCCAGCTTCCCACCTACGATGCGTGGAGCCTCCCAGCGCGCAGTCCGCCTCCCCAAAGCTGCTTCCTCTGACCTGGCCAAGGGGGGCTGCAGAGATGAGACCCCCCTCCCGGCAGGTGGCATGGCCCTTGCTCTTCAGCCCGGAGGTCAACGCTTCCTCCAAAGGCCTGGCCCCCTCAGCTCCGGGCCTGGCTCGGGTTGTTCCCAATGCAAAGCAACAGCGGCCCCGGGGTCTGCGGACCGGGGAGCACCAGCTCTCGGCCAGGCCAGAGTCGGGGTAGGTGGCGGCCCCAGGTGGGTGCGGTGCGCGGGCATGAAGCGGCAGCACGACCCCCGACTTCGCATCTGGACTCTTCTGGTAACGGACCAGCTCCTTCTGCCGGCCGGGCCGGGGAGACCGCGTGGCTCAGGGGCTGCGGCGGCCACCGGCCCGGGCGTGGGCGCTTTAGGGGCACCGGCGCGGTCGGTCACCCGGGTTTCGCGGGCCGCAAGCTCGGAGACGCGCGTGTTCTGCGTTGGCTGCCTGACCCGAAATGGCGCAGCCTGCTCATCTCCAGCGCGCTGGTCGAAAGGATCCGAGCCACCCTCGGGGACGGCCGGGCCGAGGCCACTAGCGGGGGCGGCCTTGGGCGGGGACCCGGAGCCGCGGCTGGCCGCTCGCCTCGGAGGCGGGCGGAATGTCCCCTCCTCGACCCGCGGCCCACCAGGGCAGCACACCCGCCCTCT